TTTTTTTATCTCATATTTGTCCAATTCTTTAATAATTTTGGTAGATTGTGACATTGATGCTGATAAAGAGACTAATTTCCAACTTTAAATAAATGAAGACCCACAATAACGAAGGAAATAATAAACAACAGCACTTAAACCGGTTTGAACCAAGACGGGATGCACTGAACCAAACTGAAATAAAGCTTAACCGGGCTGAACCAAGTTGAACCAAATAAATAAAAGGGCGAAACAACCTGGAAAAATAAACTAGCCCGTAAAAGGTTGAACTGAACCAGGAAAGAACCGGACCAAAAATAGTCGAACCAAACCAGAAAACCGAACCGAACCGAGAAACCCTGAATCGGACCAACGATGCTTCTTCTTTATTTTGAAACCCTAAAAAACACAGCAGCCACACAAACTTCAGAAACTTGCAACCATGAATGGTACATCTGGAGTCTGACAACAGCGACAGATGGTGGCGGCAACGACTGACGATGGCGGCGGTGGTGACGGACGATGGTTAATTCGACGACAACTAGCGCGTCGAATCCTTGAAACAGAACGGTTGCGACGATCTTCCACGATATTTCGAGGCGGTGTGAGCTTGGCGTCGGCGGTATAATAGCGGCGGCGACGCAGTAGCAACACGGCGGCGGCGAGCGAGATGGATCTAAATAGGCGGAGACTACGAACGGAAAAAAAGTCAAGGAAAAAATAAAATCTATTGAACCCAAAAAACAGCAGAAAACTTATCAACAATGATTGTAAATCGAAATTGATCGGCAATGAAGGCCAATCGAAAAAGCCACAAGGCTCTGACACCATGTTAATTAATAAGAAAAATAAAATAATTCTTACTTATCTTTTAACGAGTTTATACAAGGATGTAAATAGTAGCTAGAGCTATCAAGAAGAAGAACAAAACAAAACCCTTGCCTATTAGGATAAGAAAATATTTTCCTATTTAGGAAAAGGAAATCCTAACCTGTAAAACCTATGGCGACGAATTAATTCGTTGGGAAAACCTCAAGTTTCATCGCCTTAACTTTAGTGAAAAAATAGGGCTGTGAAATTCCCACTCTTTTCTGAAACTTTTGGCAACAAAATTTAGATTTTGTCGCCAAAAGTATCTTCTGGTGACGAAATTGGGAAATGTCGCCATAAGTTTTAAATGAAATATATCTAATTAGTCAGAACTTTTGGCGACGAAATTGCAATTTGTCGCCAAAAGTTTTGACTACAAAATTTCTAGTTAGTCAAAACTTTTGGCAACGAATTGAAATTTCGTCGCCATAGGTAGTACTTTTGGCAACGACATTTGTTTTTCGTCGCCAAAAGTATCCTATGGCTACAACCCCATTAATCTGATCCCAAATAGTGCATTTGAAGAGTGCATTATCGTAAAGACATCTATTACATCTTCATCGGTGAACTACTTTGCCAATCCTTTATTCTCGTCACTACTTAATTTGAGTGAATGCAATTGAGGATTTTACGGATCTCCTCCACTAGCGGATTATAAGTAGAGAAAATGTCATACAAATACTCAAAATCGATCATTTTGATATCTTACTTCTCTTCTAGATACTTTTAAACATGACAATGACATTTGTTTTCCTTTGTCAACTAGCATTACTGCATAACCATTTAGTGTTGTAAATCTCCCCATTTAAGCAAGTCTTCCAGTGACCTCTATTTCAAATAGACAGCAACATCCTCTTTTAGAAGATCTAATTCTTTTTCTATTTTAATATATCACGTATAGCCACATATACATTATATCATAAGCATGAATATTCCCCAAGGAGTACGATTGCACATGAACATTATTTTCCTTGTTCTAGATAAGACACAGGCATCCGCTATTGTGCTTGCTTGAAACACAAAAACAGGATTCGAAATTCAAGATTCTCTTCATTTCCTCCTCTAGACCGTTTTAATATTTCGTCTCCATTTAGAACACAATTTGTAGTTTTACTATGCGCACAAGATTGCACAGGGACATGTTATTATATACAAGAGAGTAAATTAATATTGTGTAATTCTCATTGTCTTTAAATAGATCAATGATACATGAGATACAAGAAAGAGTTCGTTAGAAACTATGTAACTAACTCAGTAATAATAATAATAATAATAATAATACAGTCTAATACTCTCCCTCGAGATGGTGAATAAAGATCCAGAACGGTCATCCTGAGTAAGACAATAGAAAAGGAAGACAAATTAATATCCTTCGTAAAAAGATCAATAAAAGTTGTAGTGTGTAATGAACTGGTAAGAGCTTAATCATACCAGAAACAATTTGACAGTCAAGTTTGATATGTTTTGTTCGCTCATAAAAAGTCGAATTGGTTTCAGTACGTATCTGCCTGCTTGTTACATGAGAAATCAGCAAGAGGGTGAAAAGGAATTTGTAAATTATCAAAAAGATAAGTAAGCCAAGCAATTTCACTTGTGACAGCTCAAAGAGCTCTATATTCGGCTTCAATAGAAGAGTGAGAAATGGTAATCTATTTCTTTCCAAGACACCAAAAAATACCTAGAAATATACAAAAACCATGGTAGATTTTCCTGTGGCTAGACAAGAAGCCTAGTCAACATCAGCAAAGCCACGCAACTAAAAAGACAAAGAACAATGCAAAAATATACCTTGGGCAAGACTAAAAGAAGATGACGAGCTGCCATAAGACGGGGTGTCATGGCTTGGCAACAAATTGACCAAGTTTGTAAATGGCAAAACTATGTCAGCGCGAGATATGATAAGACACAAAGACATCCGATAAAGACATCTTCAAAGTGTAGGATCTTCTAACAAAATATCATCTAGCATGCAATTTTACATCATGATCAATGGGCAATGAGGACATCTTGGATGGTAAGAAACCCGAATCTTGAAGTAATTAAAGAGTATAACATTTTTTAGAAAGAGAAATACCAAAGAAAGATCGACCTAACTCTAAGCCTATTAAATATCTCAAAGAATCCAAATCCTTCAATTGAAATACACCAGTAAGAAGAATCTTCAAATGCTCAATAACAGAAGAAGAAGCTTCATTAAGAATTATATCATCAACATATACAAGAAGAGCAACAAAAGTATCACTCGTCTTCATTGTAAACAAAGAATAATCAGACTTTGACTGATGAAAACCAAGGTGCAATAAAACTTGAGAAAACACGTCAAACCATTGTCTAAAAGCTTTTTTTAAGAATGTAAATACACTAATGAGGACAACAAGTTTATCCCGGAACAACACCATGTTATAACCTAGAGGCAAGACCATATAAACCTCTTCAAACACATTTTCTACGTAAAAATGCATTATTCAGATTCAGTTGCATAACACTCCAATTGAACGAAACAAAACTTGTCAATAAGACCTTGATAGTAACTATCTTAGCAATAGGAGAAAAAATCTCAAGGTAGTCAATGCCTTCTTTTTGAGTATATATAACCCTTTGCACTTAACCTTGTCTTGTACCTCTAAGCCATCAAAGTTATGGTTTAATTTTTATATCCATTTACAACTAATGGAGTTTTTCCACGAGGCAGAGGTACCAGAGACTAAGTTTTGTTAACCTCCACTGCTTGCAACTCAATACTCACGGCATCTCGCTAATGGGAGAAAGGTACAGCTTAATGATAAACACGATGCTCATAGTGAGAAGATACATTTAGTACAAAATTACAAAAATTAGAATATAGGTTCTTATAAGAGAAGTACTTTTGTAACGGATAATGCCGATAAGGATCAAGTGTGAAAATAGCAGAAGTATTGAGGCCATGATGACAATATCTGAAATATGAAGGCCTATAAAACGATCTGCAGGACTTGCGGAAAGTAGGAACAATATCCTTGAAACTAACCTAAGCAACAGCAGCCAAAAACTAATAAGAACCCAACACATAAAAATTAAATTAGTGTTGATGCTTTTTTTTAATAACAGAATTTTGCTCAGGACGTCAAAAGTGATGAATAATTACCTTGGAGTAAAATAATCAAGTGAAAAATGACTAGGGGCATTATCAGACCAAAAACAACTAATAAGTTTCCCAATCTAAGCGTCTATGAGCTGAAAGAAACATGGAACAATGACCAAAGTATTGGACTTTTGATGCATAAAAAATATCCAAGTATAACGAGAAAAATCATCACAAGAAAGTATCGATAACCAATATGTGTATGGGACTGATACGTGTCCCATATGAATAAGATCAAAAGAAAAGCTAGCAATGTGATTATGTGAACGAAATGACAACTGTTTTTGATTTAGCCGGTGGACAAATAAAAAAAAGTATCAGTATTGGGCATAGGAGAAGTAATATGCAAGGTATTTTTCAAAACCATAAATGCTCAGACGAAAGATGACCTAATCTAACATGCCTAGCGGAATATAGGCCTTGCCAAAGATTACGCTTGCCAATCGTCCTCAAACAATACGCCTTCTCAAGACGACATCCATCAATGAAGTTAACCATGGCCAGGGGCGGATCCAACGTGGGCCTAGGAGCCCCCCTCAAATCTAAAATATTGTGTATTATATAATATATAAAATAGCTTGGTTAATAAAAAATCCTTTTGGTGCAGTGGTACACACGTTGCAACCCCCTAACCATCCCAGGGCTCAGTTCCCTTTACTGCACTTTTTTCATTTTAAATCTTCCCCTCAATTATTTTCTAGAAGTGAGATTTTTCTTTTATCACTTCTACCCGATACAATCCTGATTTTTTAACCTAAAAGAAATTCTTTTCAATTTATGCATATGTATTTATTGTCTTTTTGGTTTAATTATTACGGATAATTTTAAAACTTAATTTTATTTTCAATTTATACGTTATCATTGTAGATATTTTCCTAATAAATTACTGTATCGATATATATTTTTTCTTCTCTATAAATAATCAAATTTTCAATATTCGATTGTTTTTATTTTATATAATTTTTAATTTGAATTTTAAAGAAGTCGACAATTTGAAGGTTAATTGTCTAAACTACATTTTTTCTTCAAGCCCCACTCAACAAAAGTTCTAGATCCACCATTGACTATGGCCGTCTAGTACTTTGTTAAAGCCAAGAACTTGCAGGAAGTAGATTGAACCGAAAAGATGGCACAAACATCACATTATGTAAGATTATGTCGGAATTAAGACGAACATCACCAATCAATTCCATATTTATGCGAGAATGATTAGGCAAAGAAAGAGTCATTCCAGATACCGTTTGTGGAGAAATAAAAACTCTCGAGAAAAAGAGACATGTGCAGACCCTCCTGAGTCGATGACGCAACGATTAGACGAACATACAAAGGATAACATATAGCAAGTACCTGCTACATGAGATGTGCCAGGGTCTGTATCAGTATTGAGTTTGGCAGTAGTCATATGAGACTGAAGTAAAGGCAATAACTCCTGGCATTGATCCGTGGTGAGAGTAGGCAAGAGAATTAGAAATTCCCAAATGTTATCCACAGATGCAACATTATGTTTAATGGTCTTTAATAGACCAACGATAGCTGAGATACAAGAAATAATTAGTTACCTAACTGTGTAACTAATAAGTGTGTGTTCCGGGGAGTGATTGTGAAAAAAAGAAATTTAAGAATAATTGATTTTTTAGGGTTGGTTCGGTAACATTTCCATTTCTTGTTCTCATTTCCAAATTTTATTAAGAAACTTAAGTATTTTGCAACTAAATATCTTTCTTGTTTCTCATTTTTTGGAAACATTTTCAAAATTGTATAGAAATTTTGAAAGCAATCAAAACAAGTTTCATGTTTCTTGTTTCTGTTTCCAATTTCTTACGATACATAAATATGAAATTATTTGATCATTCTTGAATTCATGGGTGTTAGGGCTATACGATTCCGTTTTTCTTTAATAAAAATGAAGAAACAGAAACAGAATCGTTACCAAACGAGCCCTTAAAGTTTGATTCTAAATGAACACAAAACTATCTTTAAATTCAAAATGTGTAATTTAACCTAAAAATATATATTGATAAACTGTTGACCTAATTGTCTGTTGTAAGGGTGTAAATATTTTTCAAACCATATGGTGGGTGGTTCATTATGTAGGCAAAGACAGTTAAAATGTAATAGTTATACTAGTTAAACCGTTACCATAATATCACATACAGAAAAGGTGCGAGAAAAAAAAATTCTCTCTTCTTTATTAAGTTTAACAAATATGCAAATCTAGACGTAAGTGAACTGTTTAAGGCATATATATCCTTAACCAACAGATTGGAAGTTCATATTTATAACTCTAGGTGTCGTTCAACTAAAACAAATGTTGAGATTTGTTACTTGGCCAGCCAAACCAAGTAAATTTTTTTCTTTAATATATTTATTTTAGATGATATGACATTGGTGAGTTGGCATTAATATTGACATATCATCTAAAATTGTTAACTCATTAAAGAATGTTTGAGTCTAGTGACCTTTTAAAACTATTTCCTAAAGATAGAGGAGCAAGCTATCACTTTTTGAAACTTACTATAACGCCCGACCAGAATGAACCAATACCATATCCGAATGAGAAGGATCCTGAGACCATAGAAGTATGGTTAAGAAGGCTTAAAAGAAATGATAGTTACTACCTATACTAACAAGGTGCACCTTCGTTTTCGGTAACTCAATCATAAGAATCTTCGGCTGGGTGACCTCCTAGTTGTTTGTTGGTCTATATGAATAGTCTACGCTGTTTTAAATAGTTCAGAACTAAACGATGATGCGGCCGGGTCGCAGGGGATGTCGGGGCAAAGAGGTGCCAAATCCAAATCCCGAATCTTGGTCCAAATTATGGGCTTGAGACGTTACACTTATGGACCAAATAAAAACTTATGTTCAAACTTAGGGAACGAAAATATATTTTACCCATAATATTATGTTAAAAAGATTAGGTAACTTATGTTATCCAAATGTATGCAAATAATTTATTAGGTTAAATTATCATTTTGATACTTTTGATTTGTGGTTGATTCTAACTTTTTGAAAAGTATCAATTAACTTTATACTGTTTTCTTAAATCTCATATAAAGTTCAATCCTCGTTACAAGATGAAATCATTTAATTTTTTTTCTCTTTTTACGCGGGTGATGATGAATTGACATTTAGTACGAGGTATTGTGTGAAAATCAAACTAGCTAAACAATATTATGGTGAATATATGTATCGGGTTTCAAATAATTTACGTGTCATCTGTTCTTTATATTTTTACCCAGTTTAAACACTGATATATTAAACTTGTTTATCGTCCACACGTATACTTTACAAGTGAATATCAATTAATGTCTATATAGAAAATGTGTCGCCAAAAAAAGTTGTCAATTTATAGTAATGATGAAGTTTCAAGAAACTAAACCAAATCGCAATGACCAACGTAAAGATCTTTAAAATTATAAGGATCAAAATTGAAATCAAGCATAAACCATTAAGAACAAAAATAATAGTTTACCAACCATAACGGTAATTGGTAAGTACAATTTTGGTGCAGGGAATAGTGGCGACGGGTGTTTCATATGCTATACAAACATGGGTTATCAAGAAGAAAGGACCCGTTTTCTTAGCCATGTGGACACCCATAATTATGGTCATTACAACTCCTTCTTCTGCATTCCTTCTCGGCGAGAGTATCGGTCTCGGAAGGTAACTTGAATACTTGTTTGAAAACTATTTTATTCTTCGTACTAAAATTATGATTCATAAATAGTGATTTATACATATACATGCATGGTAACATTATAAAATGACTAAACTCTCTCTTTTACTTATGAAACTATATATATATGATAATTCATAAAATTTATTTGCTCATGGGTTTTTGTAGTGGTTTGGGAGGGCTATTATTGATTGGAGGACTCTATAGTGTGCTGTGGGGAAAGAGCAAAGAGCCAAAAGTTAGTGAACGATTGAAAGAAGTTGACAAAGAATGCAGTTTGCCAGTGAAAGAAAGTGGTACATTTTCTAATGATAATCCACAATCTTCATTGGTTAAAAATGTTTGAACTTTGAGACTTTTAAGTTTAAAGAGTTTTCTTTTTCTTTGAAAAATAATGTACTTGTCACTTAGAAGTGTGACAAACTTGTTTCCTCTTGTAATAATTTAGTCTCTAAATCTTACGAAATAATTGTCAACGATCCTCTAAAATAATACCTTATTGGTAGGTCTTATAATTAAACATAAAATTTGTCTAATAGAAGAGAAAAAATTATACACCAGTAGTTTGTTGATCTAATTTTTTTAACTTAAAATTGTGTTAAAAATATAACTCGTTTAACGGATTTTATGTAAACGCAAGTGAACTTTGGTTTATGAAGTACGTTGTCAACAATAGCAATAAAAATTGAAAATTTTATTTTAATTTGATGTTTCGAGATCCCTACAACTCATAGTGGGTTTTCGTACGATCGAAACCTCACGCAATCCACGCACCCATGAATATCATATTTGAATTAAGAACAAACTAGAATTTTAATCTAAAGGACCGAACTCGACTTATTTTGCAACTAAAATTGCCACCTAGGATCTTGCTCAATTTTAAGAAAAATATCAGGTCATCAATCTCTTATCCTCTTATCTTATTAAAGGTGGACTCAGTGTAAGGACCCAAATCAACACTTTTTTAACTCAAAACGTTAGAGGGATTAAAGGAGTATTTTAGCATAATCTTAATACATAAAATGTGAGAGGGTTAGTGCATGAGAGCCACGAAGTCAGATAGAGAGACAATCCAACGGCAGAAATGGGAAATTGACTCAAATAACCTTCCTATAAAAATTATTTGCTCAAATAACTCATTCCTCAAAATTTGTTTTAAATGACCAACATCAGTTTTTTCTGATGTGTCAGTGGAAGTAAATGTACCGAACTACCCTTCGTTCCCAAACTAATTTCTCGGGCGAGATTGGAACTTTCACGGGCGAAAAATGCGAAAAATATTGTTGTTGGGCGAGATTTGGGAGAGAAACATGCTTGACCTACGTTAAATTCACGGCCGTGAAACGTAATTGTCCTGCCCAAAAATTGAAAATTTTTCAATTAATGAAAACACCTAACTTCCGCACACATTTATTGTTGAGCTAACCATTCCTAGGAAACTCTTTTCATCCGTGCATTTTGTACTGAGCTCTCAGAAGAACAAAAAGAATATTGTACATTATTGAATCTGAACCTAGTTTGTGGTTCAATAAATTTTTTTCTCCATCAACGAGGTAGGTGATATTTCCTTTAGAAACAATGATTTGTTTTCGTGTATAAAATCGCATATATGCATCTCTACCTTTTATATATATATATATATATATATATATATTATTTGTTTTGTGGAAATAGAGTGCATCTGTGTTTTCTTTGTTTTTCCCTTGTGTACAATGTGTTTGTTTTGACCTCTATTGCTGAATTTTTTGATGATTCTCAGGCGAATATAAAAGTATTTTCGTCGTTACCGTCTAATTATAAAATCTAATCTTGACGATGTAAGTCGTCGTTACCGTCCAAATGATATTGTTAATGACATTCGGAAAAATTATGGCGTTAACATCCGATATAAAAAGGCGTGGCGTGCGAGAGAAAGAGCGTTGGACCTACTAATGGGATCGCCAAAGAAGTCCTACATTCGCTTGCATAAATATGGCGAGGCCTTAAAATCAGTGAACTCGGGAACTGTTTTTTGCATGAAGCTAAAAGACGATAAATACTTTCAATATGCTTTCATGGCTCTGGGCTGCTCTACCAGAGGCTTTAGAAGTTGCATTCGCTTCGTACTTGTCATCGACGATGCACATCTGAAGGGAAAGTATAAGATGTGATACTTATAGCCTCTTCTTTTGATGATAACAATCAGATATATCCACTGGCATTCGGAATTTTGGATATGGAAATGGACAGCTCATGGACTTAGTTTTTGGAGTGAGTGAAGAGTTGTATTGGAGACATTAATGGATTGATTTTCGTGTTCGACCGCCACCAGACTATTAATCACTCTGTAGCTGCTGTCTTCCCACTACTAGAAAACTAGCTTTCCATGACAGTTATGAATAGTAAAACATGATTGAAAAAAACGATGGTTTACGGATTTTTTAAAACTTATGATAGTTTATAACTGTCACGAAAGTTGGAAAAAAATGGTTCAATCAATGACAGTTATAAATTGTCATTAAACTATGGAGGCACGATTTTGGTGGGGAAAAATGGACTTTTACAAACATTTTTTTTATCAGTAATGACAGTTTATAACTGCCACGAGAATTTGAAATAATTGTTCAATAAATGACAATTATAAATTGTCACTAAACGATGGAGGCGCAATTTTGGCGAGAAAAAACAGACTCTTACGAACTTTTTATCATCCATGACAAATTTTAACTGTCACGAAATGTACTGAATTTTTAACTGTCATGAAATGTCACATTTTTATAAATTATCAATTTGTTTATTTAATTTAAACTTTGTGGTTTTGTATGAGTTATTTATTTATTTACTTATTAATGTTCTAGAATTATTATGTGATTTTCATGCATGATTTATTGAGCTTCAATCGATCCGATACGTTTAAAAAAACAATGAGCATATGTTACAGTCTAGTAACA